CAGCTGTTAATTTCTAACACAGCTCAATATCAGGATGATTTTATTCAGACTATCAATTTGGTGTTGATATGATTTAATTGTGGCGTCAGCTTTAAGCTTTATTGTAGCATATATAACGTTATGACAAAGAAGACCAATTTATCAGACGCAATGATGTTAGACGATAATTGTAATACACGCAATTCATCTGCGCAGCATTGATTTCATGGGATTCAAGGGTGTGATCAGTGTCAGATGTACAGGTACAGGTACTGTAGCTACTTGAGCCCGTGATGAGTCATTTAACCTACACATCATTTTATTTGCTGCCTTGTTTTGTCTTGATTTTTCCCTCTCTCCTCCTCTATTTCTTCTTTCCTCACCCGTTTCTTTTTTCTTCTCTATTATGTGATTTCATTGATGTTTTGACAGGGGAATTTCTTTGATAAGCTTTTAGTGGGTTGCTTGATAAAGCAACACTGGGTTGAGTTAACGAGTTGATATCCAGCGTTGTGATACCGATTATCTTGATTGCCATTGTTAGGGTTAGTCAACCCAGGATAGGTCTGGGTAACCCAGGAAAGGTTGATCTCGCTTCATGATACAGGCCCCAGGTCCTGATCCTGATCCTGATTCTGATGCTGATCCTGATCCTGGTCCTGGTCCTGGTCCTGGACGAGCTGTCTCTGGTGGATTAGTAGGGTCCTGATTAAAGTGAAGCTGTGACTGGATTGCTGGACTGAAACTCAGCAGAGATAATCTCATCAACGCTCTTACTCTGAAAGCCTCCGACAGGAAGTGATGCGTTCTCTGGGTCATTGGGGGACAAACAGGGTTTCATCAGAGACATGACAGAAGCAACAGACCGTCACACTGTGACATCAGCACCCTGTCCACCAATCAACACTTCATCTGAACATCACATCACTTCCTGGATGGTTTCAAAGACTTTTCCAGGTTTTTCAAGACCATCCTGGAATAATCACAACTGTGAGCTGAGTTTTCCCACATTAACAGCTGAGCTTTACATGTTTCCTTTAAAAAAAAACACCTGGGTGATATCATTAGTCAGAACCACACACTGTAAACAAACAAACAAATAAATAAACGTTGTTAAAACCTGATGACCGACTGGTCGGACCCGTCGGGACCTGATCCAGTTTTTTCAAGTGTTTTTTTTTTCTGGACAGAGTGATTTTTCTCTCTTGTCAGGACGTCGTCACATTTGTTCAGAATCTGTTATTTTCTCTGCGGGTCAGATTTAAATCCTGTTTCTATGTATTTATTTATTGAATCTCTTTTATTGATCAGGTTATTAACTTCTGATTATTATCAGCTGTTTTATCTGCTCCTGATGGGATCAATAAAGTTTGAATCTGAAAACAGAAATTAGATTTGGATTTTCAAATTTCCGACGGCCCTTGAACACTTCATGTGAAGAACACTTCCCTCAGAAACAAACAAACAAACAAACAAACAAACAACAACAACAAATCTGAGTTTAAAAGCCACACCGCAGCCCCGCCCCCTCCTCTGACTAACACAGAACAGTCCCTAACACCCGACCTGAGCCCTGAGACCAGGTCTGAGCCCTGAGCCCGCCTGTGAGGAGACGAGAACAGACAAAATGTCCTCTCTCTCTCTCTCTCTCTCTCTCTCTCTCTCTCTCTCACACACACACACACACACACCGGGTTTTTGCTTTCAGTTTTTAACCAGTTTCAGGTTTATGATTAAATATTATTTTATTCTTACACCTCATCATATTATTATTTTATATTAAATATATTATATATTACTTTAGATTATTATCATGTTTTATTTTATTCTGTATATTTTTTTTTGTTTGTTTTTTAATGTTTTCAGCTCACTCAGGACTCGGGGGGAGATACGAAGTTTCCATGTGACTGTGACCTAATTGTTAAGTTTAAATCTCAGTCGATTTATTTCCTCGTAAGTCTGTTGCTTTAATCTCACACTGAAAACACTCAGCTTCAAACAAACAAACAAACAAACAAACAAACAGCTCTCAGCTCAGCCTCGTGCAGACACCGGCCGCTGTCACGGAGCCGCTCGGTGTCGGTAACCCGTACCCGTAGAGTGGAGCTCCGCTGAGACGGTACCGAACCCCCTCCAGACATCAAACAGGTCAAGGTCAAACCACTAAGACCCCCCCACCTCCCCCAGACCCGGAGCGGCACCGGGAGCGCACGCGCCGCCCCGGGTCCAGGTGTCATACCTGCGTGCGGAGCGGCTCTCCGTGCTCGATGACGCTGAGGAACGGGATCTCCAGGAAGGAGGCCATGAAGTCCACCTGTAGCAACTCCTCGCGGCTCTGCGGGAAGGCGAGCACGGCGGAAACTCCCTGCACCACCACGCCCTGACACACGCACCGGAACAGGGACTCCGGGTCCGCCGCGACCGGCTGCCGGGAAACCAGCTCCAGGCTCAAGTTATAGGGCAGGAAGTTGTCCCGCTCCCGGTCCCGCTCCGGGTCCGGGTCCGGGTCCCGATCCCGACTCAGCGCAGCCGCCGCACGGCTCAGCGCCGCCTGGACCTGAATGCGAGCCGCCCGCTGCGCCGGCAGGAGCGCACCGACGCGCACCGTGTGTCCGATCTGAGCCAGGAGGTGGCACGGCTGCGGGTGGAGGAGGCACGGCGGCACGAGGAGGAGCTGCAGGAGGAGGAAGACTCGGAGAGTCCGGGACCAGGAGGAAGAGTAGGAGGAGGAGGTGAAAGACATCCTGCCGCGCTCTCAGCATCGCTCTGCCGCTCCTCCGGTTTACTCCTTCTGCTCCACCGAAACACCGAGAGGCTGCTGCTGCTGCTGCTGCTGTTGGAGACAGGAGACTGCTGCTGCTGCTCCCCCTCCTCCGGGGGGGGGGGGGGGGGGGGGGGGGGGCTCCCAAAAACAGGAGATCCTGATAGGGGACTGAGAGGGGAAAAAAGGTATGAGGGGGCGAGAGGGGAGGAAAGGAGGTGTACAAGGAAATGGAAGAAGGAGATAATGGAGAAGATGAGGAGGAGGAGGATGAGGAGGAGGAGGAGGTATAGAAGAGGTAATAAAAAGTGAAGGTCAAAGTAAAGAGGAGGTGCTACAGGAGGTAAAAGAGGGAGGAGAAGATAAGAGTGAAGAGGAGGTGGAAGTGAGGAGAACAGTGGAAGCAAAAATGAGAGGAGAGAAGGTGGTGGAGGAGGAGAGGAGGAGGAGGAGAGGAGGTGGGGGAGGAGAGGACAGCAGAGGAGAGGAGAGGACAGAAGAGGAAAGGACACGGCAGGAGAGGGGAGGACAAGAGAGGAGAGGACAGGAGAGGAGAGGACAAGAGAGGAAAGGAGAGGAGGAGGAGGAGAGGAGAGGAGAGGAGAGGACAAGAGAGGAGAGGACAAGAGAGGAGAGGAGAGGAGGAGGAGGAGAGGAGACGACACGGTAGGAGAGGAGAGGAGAGGACAGGAGAGGACATGGCAGGAGAGGAGAGGATGCAGGAGGTGAAGATCTGATGAAGCATCCAGAGTAACAGAAGGAAAAAGGAGGTGCTGAAGGAGAAGAAAGAGAGGAGGGGGAGAGGAGAACAGGAGGAGGCTCTGGGTGAATGGAGAGGAGAGGAGGATGAAGAGGAGGAAGTTGAAGATGAAGAGGAGGATGAAGAGGATAAAGATTTGAATGGATCAGATTTAAATTCGTTTATTGATGAGGTTTGTTGTTGTTTGTTGTTTACTTTGTGTCACATGATCAAAATCAAACAGGATCTTTATGAATAAATAAAGTGAAGCTTTTATTTTGTAGGAGCTTCTGGAAGATTCCTGAGACTTTCAGAATAAAAGCCTGTGATCAGATGATGTAACGATGTGTTTGCTGGTCATAATTGAAACAAACACAAATACTACAAACAGGAAGTATTTACACTACGTCATACTCACACACAAACAAACAAACAAACAAACAAATGAATAAACTTGAAAACAATTACACTAAAAATCAATCAAACTTTGATCAATAAAAAAAACAGTGTGATTATTGACCAATCATGTTCAAAGGTCCAGTCAGAAAACACCACGATTAAGGCGAGACAAGACGAGACGAGACTTAACAAGTCAAGATGATAGAAGACTTGACGAGTCAAGACGATAGAAGACTTGACGAGTCAAGATGAGACAAGTCAAGATGATAGGAGACGAGACGATAAAAGACTTGACAACTCAAGATGATAGGAGACTTGGCGAGTCAAGATGATAGGAGACTTGACGATACAAGACTTAACAAGTCAAGACGATAGGAGACTTGACGAGTCAAGACGAAACGAGTCAAGATGATAGGAGACTTGACGAGTCAAGACGAGACGAGTCAAAATGATAGAAGACAAGACGATAAAAGACTTGATGACTCAAGATGATAGGAGACTTGACGAGTCAAGACGAGACGAGTCAAGAAGATAGGAGACAAGACGATAAAAGACTGGACGAGTCAAGACGAGACGAGTCAAGATGATAGGACACTCGACGAGTCAAGACCTGATGAGTCAAGACGATAGGAGACAAGATGAGACGAGACAAGAAGAGACTAGGGGACTGAAAAAAATTAGTACCGAAATACTACCACAGGAGTACCACTGGTTTCTCACACGAATACCAAAGGAGTATCATAGAAATACTGCAAGGGGACAATAAAAGTACTACAAGAGTACTTGAGGAATACTACAGGAGAACAACTACAGTATTAGAGTAGTTTATTTGAGAACAACAGGAGAACTATGAGAGTACTACAGTGTGTGGTTGCAGAAGTACAATTGTATTTGTGCAGTACTCTCAGTGTGTGGTTGCAGTAGTATTTGTGCAGTATCCTCAGTGTGTGGTTGCAGTAGTACAGACGTATTTGTGCAGTACTCTGTGTGTAGTTGCAGTAGTATTTGTGCAGTACTGTCAGTGTGTGGTTGCAGTAGTATTTGTGCAGTACTGTCAGTGTGTGGTTGCAGTAGTATTTGTGCAGTACTGTCAGTGTGTGGTTGCAGTAGTATTTGTGCAGTACCCTCAGTGTGTGGTTGCAGTAGCATTTGTGCAGTACCCTCAGTGTGTGGTTGCAGTAGTATTTGTGCAGTACTCTCAGTGTGTGGTTGCAGTAGTATTTGTGCAGTATCCTCAGTGTGTGGTTGCAGTAGTACAGTAGTATTTGTGCAGTACACTCAGTGTGTGGTTGCAGTAGTACAGAAGTATTTGTGCAGTATCCTCAGTGTGTGGCTGCAGTAGTACAGATGTGTTAGTGCAGTACTCTCAGTGTGTGGTTACAGTAGTATTTGTGCAGTACCCTCAGTGTGTGGTTGCAGTAGTATTTGTGCAGTACTCTCATTGTGTGGTTGCAGTAGTACAGTAGTATTTGTGCAGTACCCTCAGTGTGTGGTTGCAGTAGTACAGATGTATTTGTGCAGTACTCTCTGTGTGTGGTTGCAATAGTATTTGTGCAGTACTCTCAGTGTGTAGTTGCAGTAGTATTTGTGCAGTACCCTCAGTGTGTGGTTGCAGTAGTATTTGTGCAGTACTCTCAGTGTGTGGTTGCAGTAGTA